TTAATATTCCAGTATGTTCCGTTATTTATCATGTTATGTTTAGCCATGCTGAAACTGACTTACCAATACAATTTGATGCAATCAGATAGAATGATCTAGCTATTTGAGTGGATTTCATTTCCATCTGTTGTGGTAATCACTCAATAAGCTGTCTTGCCCCCTTCCCCCCTGCTGGGATACCAGTATGTTGCAGGTTACCCTGCGGCATTTTTTCAGGGTAACCTGACCTATCTTTCTGACCTACCTTACAATAGTTGTTTCATATTCCAAGTTATTTTACATCTTTGAAGTGGGTTACCTTACACATGACTACAAGTGGGCCAGAGTAATAAAGGATACAAAATAGGGACCATTCTCCCTCCTGCAGACTCGATAAACTTGACGTAAGTGGCTGCAATTAATTGACTACCGAATTTCGTCACATTTCGATCCGTTTCTTGAGTGAGCACGCCTTCAGAGAAGCAAAAATAAGAAACAATAATAACTGAACGATCGTCCATTGTCCTTTTGACATTTCTGCGATCGCTGCGTATTCAGTTGATATGCATACTCGACCTGCTAATTGTTTTTGATTTCCTTTGCCTTAAAAGATAGTATTCGCTGTACATTTCTACATTTCTGGGAAATCATCTCACAAATTTTTTATAAGGTCGTCTTTCAGAAGCGTTTTACTTATGAATTCGTGAGGCCAAATTGCAGTTCTTAGTTCTGTTTCTGCACCTGGAGCAGACTATAGTTCACTGCTTGACCAAGCAACACTTGGCAAGACAGCGAAACTACAATAATAACGATAGACCTTTCTATGATGAGACTGGTATATTATTATCCACTGGTATATTATTATTCTGTAATGTTTGCTTACTCACATACCAATAATTGGACGAGAGTTAATTGTCCTCCCGTTATCGCTGCGATGTAGGGTCGGGAACAGGTTAGAAGGTAGGTGGAAGTAGCCGGAAAGGAATATGAAAAAATCGACAGTTACAATTTAGGAGCGATGGACAAAAACCTTGTTGGATGAAGGAGAAATTTGGAAAAATAAGATTTCAAATCACTGTACCTGCTTTTTCCTTGTGCGTGTTCAGGGAGTGCTGCGAATGTATCAAATTCCACGGCTAAAGAAATTTGCGCAACGGTAAGCAAAAATATAATTTTCGTTAGTTTTTCCTGTCTCATATTTTTTCTTTTTGATTGTCTTGAATCACTAAACTGATTCTCCGTCAAGCTGGTCAATAATAGATTGGCGTTTACTCTACAGGCTTACTGACGTTAGGCCAAGTTAATGACCCCCTTGGTAGGATTTACTTGAAAAGAAATTTGATAGGGTGTCGCTTTTTCATGGCCAATCCGCGTTGCGGGTGTCTCGCGGGTGTTTTCACCCTGAGTATCTCAGGAGGATTTTACTACAGGGTAGCCTTTTTAAAAACTAAAACAAGAGATCTGTGACGAGACGTGTAGGTTGCACATCACGAACTGTTGGTTCCCAAAAGGATATAAGGGACCGACCACGAAATTTTTATTTTTCCGGCTGTTTCTTTCTGCTGAAAAAGTTTTCGTCTACAAACAGAACAAAATCGTTAAGAATGAAGTAAGGGGGCAACTAAAAATTTTTTTTGTGGTTGGCAAGATTTTCGTCCGTTAAAGAGAAGAATTAGATTCACACGGCATTGTGGGTTACAACGCGTCAAGTTTTCTTGAATTTTCATATACTTTTGGTGGGATTGTCCAATTTATGCCATGAAGAAGATTTTTACTTTGCTAAATTTGATATTACCTGCTGAAATCCGTCCTCGTTTCCTTAGTTGGAGATCGTTATAGCGAAGTCCAAAAAACACAAAAAAGTATTGGACGTGCACTTGGCTGATTAATCCTGACTAGCTAGTAATGGTACTTTTGATGTTCTGTCGCGGAGGATAAAATGGACTTATGAACGCTCATGAACATCTCTTAGTGATGATGAAGCTCTTCATCACGCTTGCTGGCTGAAAAAGGA